TTCCTTCAGTAAAGAAGTAAAACATATGTTCATTTCTCTTTTATTAGTTTTATTTACTTTGCATGGTGCTAATAGAGTCAAAATTGTTCATATTTTTCAAATTATCAGTATTTCAACATCACTTTTTTAAAGTAATTTTTCACCTGCTATTTGTTAATTCCTTTTTAAAATCACATTGGTATCTACAACTTGCAAGTAACATAGTATCACTTATATGTCTAAAAGATTATTTTGGCTTTCACAAAGAGAAAGAGAGGGTAAGAATGGAAGCTAGTGATATAGAACTTAACCCTCTCTCTTGGACCAGCAGTTTTTGTTTTTCCTTTTTTTAATATTTCTTGTGGTTCTCCAAAAGATATACTTGGTCTATTTTCTCAAATGTCCCTCAACACATTGCAACCCACAGGGGAGGCAAATTTCAAGATAAAGTCAATTATTATTTTTACACTTACACTTTCAAATGTATTTATCCAGAATTCAATTACACCCACTTCACACTTACTAACATTTTAGGTCCCAAACACCATGTCATTATGCATAATCAGCATTATGAAAGAGTCTGAAGCTGTACCCCATCTTAAATGCTAGTGTGACGGTTGGGTGTCCTTAATGTGACTCAGGAGGGACATGGCATGGTAGGTCTCCCTTCCCCACTACTGTGGAGTCTTCAGGGGATTAAGTGGGGAGGGGGTATGGTTAACATCCTACTGCCTGCCCCACCTCAGTCATCCTCCATCCGCCTCAGTCCCACACTCCTGAACAGTCCCCTTCCTATGCCTCCCATTCCTGCTTCACCCCACTAGCCTCTCAAATACCTTCTGATCCTCATCTACCCTCCCTGCAGTCTCCAAAACCTTGACTTGTCCCTCCCTTTTGGCCCTTGCCTTCTGTGTCCAGACTGAGACATTGCAGAAGAAAGGGAGAAGGTGTCCACAGCCACACAGTCCAGTCATCACTGGGGCTACCAGGATGTTGTTTGGGGTGGCCAATGAAGGGCACGCCAGGACTGCTATAGTCCCATATAGGGCACAGACCATCAGTGGTGTCGTCTGAGAATTTTTTCAAAGTTGTTGTAAATGAGAATCACCAGATAATAAGAGACAGTCTGTAAGTGAGGAGTTGGTGTGTTATATATTAAGTACAAAAATAAGTGGATGGGTAATCACCCAACATTTTGTTTCTCTTTTCATCAGTTTCCTGCTTCTTTATTCTCTTCTCTATTTTCTTTTCCTTTTTCCTTGCATTCTTTCAATCAACTTATTTAACACAGGCCTTCTACCAAAATAGACTCTATATTTCTTTACAAATTCTTTTTGTTATTGTTGTTGTTAAATGCCATCGAGTCGGATCTGACTCATAGCAATCCTACATAGCGTTTCCGAGGAATCGCTGATGGGTTTGAACCACCAATCTTGTTGTTCAAACCAACCTTGCAATCCAGTGCTTTATCCTACCGTGCCACACCAGGACTCATAGACCACATTTCATTCTGGAATATCCTTTTAACACACATCATTAATAAAAATTCTGCCAAAGAGAAAGGTTTAGGAAGGCTATTCTAAAAAACTTAATGAGAGTTGGCTTATTGGCCCAGTGTCAAATAAAAGTAGCTTCTGAAAACCTTTCCATTCTAATTATTACTTACACTCTTACTCATAAATAAATCAGTTAAGATTGCATATTACCTATGTACCAAAAGCATTTACAAGGCTCTTCTCAAAACATTATTGTACCTTGAATTTACTTGATAATGGTATGTCTACCCACAAAATGACTAGATTGTTATTAAGAGCCATCAAGTTAGTTCTAACTCATAGCAACCTGAGGGTGCGAATGTTAGCGGGAGCAGAAAACCTCATCTTTCTCTCACTGAGCAGTAGTGGTGGACTCGAACCACCAACCTTGCAGTTCACAGTCCAGTGCTTATCCTACAGAGTCATCATGCTCCCAAAATGACTAGGTGATGCTGTTGTTAAGTGCCATCAAGTCAGTTCCAACTCATAACAACCCTTTTGTAGGGTTTCTAAGGAGCAGCTGGTAGATTTGAACTGCTGACCTTGTGGTTCAGTCCGAGGTACCATGCAAACAGGGTGTACAGGACTCTAACAATGGGATGGTTAGTTTTGCCCTCCCTTATAGTTTAAAAGGAGCCATACCAGAACCAGGAACATCAAAAAAGAAGAGCCATTTGCAAAGAACATGAGATCCCTACAAGAAAATGCAACATGGAGAAATGGAGCAGCTGCAGGTTTCTTGGCCCACAAATCAAATGAAGCTGAGTGCCTAAGGGCAGGAGGGTGGCTTTCAAAATGTGTCCTTTGAGCATTACAGACTGGCTAAAGGATTTCTGTAACACTTGCCTGAGCAAAAAGCAAAGGCCAAGAGGCAGCATGGCTGAGAGGTCGAACACCAGAGCAAGGCATGCCTGCAGTATGGCAGAGAAAAGGCTTTCCTTACCGGAGGACTGGGGCATCCTGAGTTGTTTCTGATCCTGAAATGTGCCATGTTCACCTCCCAAATAAACCAGATAATCATGAGTATTGTCTATGAGTTCTGTGTGGTCACTGAAACATACTACCAAACCCATATGTGAAGCAGAGAATATTGTGGGTGGGATGGCTGGTATCAGAAGATGGTAAACAAGGTTGAAGGTTGGAAGCATGTCTAATCTCTGCTAAACAGGAATCAGCATGGGCTGATTTTGAGTTTGATTCTCCTTCCACTTTGTGAAGCCAGAAAAAGTCAGGCATGTTCTACCTGTCATTCTTGTAATTATACACAAGGCTACCAAAACCTCCATATGCCAATTTGGCTACCAAAACCAATCTGCCAATATTATAATTTTATTCATTAGTTTAAAACATACCAAAAGTAATTTTCATTAAAAGTATGGAAAAATCACAGACGATACTTAAAAAAACTAAAAAGAGTCAACTTTATGGTTTTAACATTTTTAAACATATAAAATAGTAGACTGTTCTTTTAGATAACTAAGCTACACTTCTACTACTACAAGCTTACCTAACAATCAACATCTGACAGAATTAACAAATTTACATCTTATCTATTCACACAATTCATTACATTTGACAATAAATACACCATGGAGCCCGATACTGGCTCATACACAGTAAATTAACTAATTTTGACTGTTAGTCAATAATAACTTTGATGACTACTTTCAGTAGAAGCTTTTAAAAGTTAACATGTTTCTCAATGTAAAGAGTAGTATACTGCTTAATCACCTTCAATTTGCCAAGAAGTTTCTGGGTTTTATCTCAGTTAATTTCAGAGCTGTCAATGATTAGAGTTAATATATTTTTTAAAATATTGAATTCATTGTCAGATTCTAAAGTATTTCAGGTACCTTATCTTGTCAATGAGAACTTATTCTTTCATTCATTAATTAAAAATTAACAAGTACAATATAGAATTTCACATTTTAAAATTATTAAACAGAACAAAAGAATTTGCCATTTTTCTTTAAAATGTTAGTCATTTATCAAGGAAAATTTTTAAATAAAAACATTTAATCTTTCAAATATTTCCAGAACTAAATATTTTATCAAACACTTTATTGAGATAAAAACAATGTGTTCAAAGAATAGAAAACAGTATTAAAGCTTTTCATAACTCATATATTGCAATCAGATTCATTAAAATACCGACAAAAATCTCATTATAATATCCAAATAAAATCTAGTGCATAACAATGAGAAAATGAAAAACAAAAACATTACAAAGGTTAAGTCAAAAAGTATTGCTACTAAGGCTCCAATTCATACAAGCAAAGGTTTATTCCAAAAATGTTTAACACATGTGTCATTTATCAGTGGATGACTACAAACAAGTTCTGTCAGTAAACACTGTCTTAGGCTCACTGTTGTTGTTGCCAAGTGCCATCGAGTCAATTCCGACCCATAGCGACCCTGTATAGGGTTTCCAAGGAGCGGGTGGTGAGCTTGAACCACCAACCTTGCAGTTCAAATGACTTTGCAGTCTGACGCATTAGCGCACAGCCCCATACCAGGACTCCTTAGTCTCATTGTTGTTGTTTGTAAGTGCCTTCAAGTCGGTTCTGACCCATAGTGACCCTGTACAGGGTTTCCGAGGGTGTAAATCTTTACGGGAGTAGAAAGCCTCATCTTTCTCCCGCGGAGCGGCTGGTAGTTTCGAACCACTGACCTTAAGGTTCACAGCCCGATTCGTAACCACTACGCTACCAGAGCTCCTTGGAGTACCTTAAAAAAAATTCCAATCAAAACAATGGCTTCTGAGAGGATCTACTGGGCCAGTTCAACTGAAGGCAGACAAGTAATCTCAGAAGGTGATGGCAACTATTATTGGAGATTCAAAAAGGTTATCTTGACCTTTCTTGAGCATGAAAGACATGGGATAATCATAGGGGCTTATTAAGAATGAATTTTAAAAAAACAGAAAATTATATTAATAAGAAAATTGACAAGAAATTTGTATCAAGTTAAGTTTTTCCCTTAACAACAATGCACCAACTTATTCTTACAAGGTAGCAAGTGTTGTCCTATGAAAATTTTGTCAGGAGACCTTACACCTCATCTACCCTACAATCCTGATATGGCTCTTCAGACTTTTTGTTCCCAAAACTCAAAGAACATTTCAAGGGGACACGATTCAATCCCTCAAGAATGGCAAAACTACCAATTTGATGTGGTGTCAATCAAAGAGGGTAAAATCCTTCAGTGAAGACTCAGAGTTGGAAATGTCACCTTCAGAACTGTTTGGGATTATATGAAGGATATGTGAAAAACCAATCACATTTTTATATTTTTGGTTAACAACAGTTTCTATGATTTTGTAGCAATATTTTTCTCTTACCCTTGTATGAGGGGGCTTCAGAAGGCTTACTGAAAAATTCCATTATCTTTTAATACCGTTTATCCCAAACTTTTTGAAGCCCCCTCATATATATTGCCCAAACTTCTCCCATTTAAAGCAAAACCGTATCTAAGTATGTTACTTACGTAATAGATGGATCCACTTGTTTGTAAGCATGGGCAGCACAAGACCCACAGTACGTATAACCTGCATGTCTGTTTAAAAAAAGGGGAGGGGGGTATTTAAAAAAATTTAATAAGATTCAGGATAAAAATATTCGAAAACAGATGCTTTTGAAAGAAATATATTATGGCAAACAACAGAATTCAATATATGGATTAAAAAGGAAATGATAATGATGCAATTTCAAATTGTTCTATATTGTGCTTCTATACTTTAAAATTATCTAGTATGTTTTTCTGTGTGTGTGGTTGTTTTTTGTTATTGTTGTTTTTAAGGAAATTTATACTTGGAGAAGTTCATGACTAATTTGAAGTTGCAAACGTAACATTAATAATATACGAGCTTTTCATACTCTTCTTCAATACCATTGTCAGAAGTTTAATTTGACCAAACCAAATACCTTACACAACTAACAACTAATTTCCTTCTATTTTTAGTGGTATGGGAAATGACCTGGCCTTCTGCGTCTTATACCTTTTCACTTTCTTTCCCTATATTTCTTTCTTTTCAGAGTCTGGTGGCAACATTTGGCTGGCTCTCCTACTACCTGCAAAATAAACTTGTTTTCTAATCTCATTTATTTTCTTGACTCACTCTAGTTTCATGAGTCTACAGACATTTCCCTTGATGCCTGTTAGTGTATGTGCCCAACAACTTGCTAGTAAATGTTTAACAACTGACTCTTTGGTTAAAATATATATATGTGTGTGTGTGTGTGTGTGTGTGTGTGTGTGTGTATCCCCATACATGTGTACAGAGTCCTAGTGTGGCACTGTAAAATAAGCATTGGACTGCTAACTTGAAGGTCGGCAGTTCAAATCCATCAGATACTCCTTGGGAACCCTAAACAATGTCACTATGTGTCAGAACCAACCCTATACAGTGTCACCATGTGTCAGAACCGACTCATTGGCACTAAACAAGAAAATACATATGTGCATAAGCTTTGGTCAATTATAAAGAGACAAAAAGTCATGCAGAGTCCATAATTTACAAATGATTAAATATAATACTCTCATTGTAAGCTGCATATATCTAATTTATTATAATGGAATGCTTTCACAGACTTTTGTTGAGTTTTTGAATCTATGGTATATCTATTAGCCCTGGTGTGGTGCTGTCCAATAAGCACTGGGCTGGAAACCGTAAAGTGAGCAGTTCAAACCCATCCATCATTCTTGAAACTCTATACAGGGTCACTCTGACTCAAAATCTACTCTACAGCACACACCAGTATACAAATTTATGCAACTAACAAGTAAAACAATGGCATTTTAGAAGAGCTTCACTCATTTGTCAATAACTTAATTGACTTTTGTACAACAGAATAATAGTTTCTGAATATTAGAAAGTGCATTTTCCTCACCTGTGTATATGTGTTTCCATACACTATTCATAATGCAAAGGGCACAGGGATGAAAGATTTTAGAATTTAATCTGCATTATTAACATTTTCTCCATTATTCTGTTAAGTATAAACAATCAGCAGATCCTAAATAAAGGTCTGATTTATAGCATTTGCTGATTTCAATGGAGTAAATAATTCCCATCAAGGCCAATTTTAAACTATACCATTACAGCACTGAATGCAGAGTTGGGACGAGATGCACAGTAAACTGAAAAGATAGAACAAAGACTGGGAGATAATGTTTGTAAAGCATATATGTAATAAAGGATTTAAATCTGAAAATAAAGAATACTTAAAAATTCAGTAAGAAAATAACCAAATACTTAAAACTAGAAAAAAAATATAAACAGACATTTCAGTAAAGAATAAATTGTGATGGAAAATAAACACATAAAGAGATCTTAACATCATTTACCATAAGGGAAATGAAAATTAAACCTACAATGCAGTTGCAGGGAGGGGATTGTAATCATTGAGATGACACAAAACATATAATTTGCTGATTGTAAACCTAAGGATCTTGTCTGTTAGCTTTCACTCAATTCACAATAAAAAAGGAACAACAACAACAAAAAAACCTATAATGAGCTACTATTGTTGTTGTTGCTGTTGTTAGGTGCCATTGAGTTGGTATCGACTCATAGCGACCTTATGCACAACAGAACAAAACACTGTCCAATCCTGGGCCAACCTCACTATCATTGCCAGGCTTGAACCCACTGATGCTGCCACTTTGCCAATCCATGTCACTGGGGGGTCTTCCTCTTTCTCTCTGACTCTCTACCCTACCATTAGCACTACCATTAGAATAACTACAATAACTAGAATAATTAAATTTAAGAATAACCACCTCAAGTATGGTGAAGATGTAGAAGAACTGAAATCTCATACACAGTCTATAGAAAGGTAAAATGGTGCAACTATTTTGGAAAACAGGCAATTACTTTAAAAAATTAAACATACTCCTACAACATAACCCAATCACTCAACTCCTAAATAGTTATTAAAGAGAAATTCAACATTATACTGACACAAAGAATTATACAGAAAAGTTCATAATAGATTTATATGTAACAGCCCAAAACTGGAAACAACTACATAACCATCAATAGTTGAATGAATAAATAAACAGTGATATATTCATTCATGGAATATTCCTCAAATGAAAAGGAATGAACTGTATCAAAAATGGGGGGAGTAGTTAATCTTACAGTCCAGAAACAAAGGATCCTAGGACACCAAGGGAGAAGACCACAAGCGGAATGTGAGGCCTTAGGAGAGAAGCAGCGACACCAGACATGGAGGCAGAGATGGGGATATGGAGAGAGGGAGCAGCTGAGGACTCTAGATTCAAGGGGAGAGAGGGACTAAGAGCTGGCAGCCAGGAGGCAGACTTGCCGAATGTGTCCTATGGTGGTGTAATTATTATATATGCCTGAGTGTTTTAAGAAAAAAAAAAAAGAGCTAAAATGAATGGAAAGAAAATAGTTAACTGATGGCACATGGAGGGGGTTATAATCATTATAATGAAACAAGGTGTATAATTTGTTTAATGTAAAACTGATGATCTGCCCTGGAAACTTTCACTCAAGTCACAAAAAGGAAGAGATACGATTTCTTGACTAACGTGTTAGAACATATGAGTAACGATGAGCACAGTGAATAATCTACTGAGCAAGCCTGTAACCTGACTTCATGGAACAAACAAAATAACTGACAGACATTAATAAAATAAATTACATGCTTTAAAAAAAATTTTTTTTAATATTGTTGAAAGTGGTTATGTTTGGAGTTTTAAAAATAGCAAATAGTTTCTTATGTCTTAGAATAAAATTTCCTGTGAAACATCATGTACAAATTCAAAAAGAGCTATATTTCCTATAATCAGATAAGAATACGATAGGATTGAGAATGGCTTTGATTTTTTTTTTTAAGGTTTTTATTGTGGATTGAGTGAAATTTTACAGGGCACATCATCAGTTTCACATTCAACCATTCATATGGCTTGTTTCATTACATTGATTATAATCCCCTCCATACATCTTCAGTTAACAGTGTTTCTCTCTGTCCTCTTTAGCTTTTTTTTTTTTTTTTTGGTGAACTTTGCCTTTTTGGAATTTACAGTCTCGGCTTTTAGGGAAGGTTTTTACATTTATCTGTGGATATCCAGGGCTCATGTATGAGATTACTAACAAGCATAAGTGAATACTCAGATGAGGGACAGTTTGCTATGTCTGCTAGGTTGCTAAAGTCTGATCTTCAGAGCCTATGGTTTGGAAGAATGGCTTTGATTTTAATGTAAAAAAAATAACAACTATGTCAAAGATGCTGTAAAAGAGTTTTACAATTCTAAAAGGGGAAAAAGTTAAAATTGTAAATCAACATGTATGTGATTTTAAATATGTATATGCAACTCAGTTAATATGTAACATACTGTAAATTGTTGTTATTAATGTTAAGTGCCCTTAAGTTGGTACCGACTCAGGAATAACGTATAGGGTTTCCAAGGAGTGGCTGGTAAGTTTGAACCACTGACCTTGTGATTCAAATCACCCTTGCAGTCCACTGCTTTATTCCACAGCACCATATCAGGACTCGATTCATTGGTATCTATAAATGTTAACTTGAACTTTAAACTTTAAAAATCTTTTAATTAAGAAAACAGTAGACCATCTTATATTCAAGATCATACTACATTCTGGCATATAAAACGTTAATAGTTCTATGAAAGAGAAGACACAGTTGTCCAATGACAGCAAAATGATTAAGTAAATTATGGCATAGGCATAAATGAATTATTATATACCCACTATAATGCACTACAGAGGAATGTGAACAAAGGAAATGCTTATTTTAAAATTTATTTTTTACAGCAAGAAACATAATTATAAAAAATACTGTGCTTTGCTCCAATGAAAACACCTAAGAATACACAAAGTAAAAAGATTCAAATAATTTTTTTTTAATTAGCAAAAAAAAAAAAAAAGGAATGAAATACGGATACACTCAATTATTCAGTGGGAGAAGCAAAAAAAATCATTTATTTTATATAAAACTGTAGAAAACAGAAAATTCATCAGTGGGTAAGAAAACAGAAGAAGGGGCAGAAAGGCACAGGAAAAAATAATAAAGGGGCTTAAGAAAAACTTTTGGAGGTGATAAATACGATAATTATCAATTATCTTAACTGTGATGTTAATTATGTAGATAAGTCATGGTGTGGTTATCATAGGGTAAGCACTGGACTGTTAACTAAGGTTGATGGTTCAAATCCCACCAGCTGCTCCTCAAAACCCCTATACAGGGTTACTTAGCTAATACTGAGAATCAACTCAATAGAACTTAACAACAACTAGATATATTTCCTTTATTTTTTTTATTTTTTAATAAAAACCAAACTTTATTAGTGGTTACCAAGCAGTAAGGAAGATGGAGAAAATGAAAGCCATTGTTTACAGTTGCTATCCAACTGATTAGAACTAACACCAACCACAAGTGTGGCAAAGTAGAACTGCGCTCCTTAAGGTTTACTATGGCTTGTATTTTAGAAGGATATCACCAGACCTTTCTTAAACTGCACATATTTAAAGTATATATTTGACAAATTGGTGTTGTTGTTAAGTG